GCTGCACCCTGAGTCAGTGTCAGAGCTGGGAAAGAAGCAGATGTTCCACGCCTGCCTCCAGCCCTGTTCAAGCTCTAGAGCAGCATCTGATTTGGGGGCACACGGCCGCCTCCCCAGCAGCAGAGTCACAGGACCCCAAACCCCAGGCCCTAGACCCACACCAAGCTAACCCGCCCCATGTGCCTCCAGCTCCCATGGAGCCGTGCAGCAGAGCGCCCCGCCGCCAGCACCGCCCTGCATTTCGTCAGTGCCGGACGCGGCCCCTTTCCTCTGCTCTGCACACGTGGCGCGGAGCCGGGAATTCTGGAATCACTGACTAGCCTTTCTCAGGTGGGGGAGGGGGAGCCAACTTCTCATTATACCCCAGTCACGCTCCCAGAGCCATAAAAAGCTGCAATTACAGCCCGGAGCCTGTGCGGAAGGCTCTCCGCTGGAGGATGGGAGTGCTGCAGCTGATGGGTTAGGTGCTCGCTGGTAGCCAGAGTCCCCGTGAGCACCTGGACTTGTGCACACCGCGTTTGCACGACGGTGACATGCGCTCGGGAGAGACGGTGTCAGAGGAAGCGGCCATGGGGCAGCCATGCTGCCAGCACAAAGCCTGCGTTTGCAAGGCGACCGGCGCTGCCATATGCAAATAGCAATGGTAATACATATGCATCAGACCCCCTCCCAGGCTGAAGTGCAATTACAGGATGCAAGCAGCGGCTGATAAAACCCCCGAAAGGAACTGCCCCCCTCCCTCCGACAGTACCTCCAGCACCTACCCCCGCACCGCACTGGCCACAGCGGGCCAGATTGGCACCGGATTCCGCCTGGCTACCGTGCATTGACAATGCCCTTGTCACTGCGACGTTATGGTGCCTGTGCAGACCCGGTCACTTCCCGTGGAAAGGAAGGGAACGGTCCAAGAGCACGTTTCCAATCCGCAAGGGTAACAGCCGCCATGTGCAATCGGGGGTCCCCAACGGTCCCCTGAACGACTTGCTTGGAAACGTGGCGCTCAAGTTCCTTCCCAGACCAGCAGGGAACAGGGCCGCTAGCAGGATGGAGTGTCACTGTGGATACACAAAATGGCTCACCAAACAGGGCTTTAAGGACTGGTTAAGGAAAGCAACCAAGCACCCAAGGGTCCTTCAGACCCCTGCTCCCCGTAAGCGTGGCCCACAAACCAAGCATAGAATCATAGAATCCTACAACTGGAAGGGACCTCGAGAGTCATCGAGTCCACCCCCCTGCCCTCACAGCAGGACCCAGGACTGTCTAGACCAGTAGTCCCCAACCTTTTGGGGCTTCCAGGCTGCGCGGGGATGGGGCCGTGCGTGCACCGCGCGCCCGGGGGCAGCACCGTGTATGCACCATGTGCCCAGGACGGGGGCTGCACATGTGCCAGGGCCGGCCCTGGTCACTAGGCGGGCACACATATGGCACCCATGGGCACCACATTGGGGACCACTGGTCTAAACCATCCCTGCTAGACATTTATCTAACCTGCTCTTGAATATCTCCAGAGATGGGGATTCCACAACCTCCCGGGCAATTGATTCCAGTGTTTGACCATCCTGACAGGCAGGAAGTTTTTCCTAAGGTCCAACCTAAACCTCCCTTGCTGCAGTTTAAGCCCATTGCTTCTTGGCCTATCATGAGAGACCAAGAAGAACCATTTTTCTCTCTCCTCCTTGTGACACCCTTTTAAATACCTGAAAACTGCTGTCAGGTCCCTCTCAGTTGTCTCCTTTCCAAACTAAACAAGCCCAATTCCTTCGGTCTTCCCTCACAGCTCGGGTTCTCTAGACCTTTCCTCATTCTTGTTGCTCTTCTCCGGACCGTCTCCAGTTTCTCCACATCTTTCAAATGTAGCAGTGGCTCTGTTGCATACGGTGAAAAGCAGGTGGGATCTAGTCCTACATGCTCACCCCATTGGCCAAACAGGCTGCCACATTCTGCATGGACTGCGAGTTCCAGGCTGCTGTCTACTGGGCTGCAGATAAGCAGTAGTAAAGTACTCATGGGGCAAGCAGCGTTACCCAATTTACATATGTAAATGAGACGCCCTGGCTACAAAGGCAATATTTTTGTGCCAAGTGCAATGGGCTAAACTCGTCTGTGGCCCAACTGCAAGGAAGCTGCGGTGCTACCCGGCGCATGTAGGTGGCCGGCCGGTTGCACGTGTGATTTTCAGGCAATCCTGCTGACCCCATGTGTGGACCCCCTGTATTCCCGCACTGTGGCAGAGCTGGGCAAGCCAGGCTAGCGAGTGGGCCGCAAGAGAGGACTCCTTCATCTCAGAGGCCATAACCAAGCCGGTCTCCCGGGACAGGGCAGCGTTGCTCTCCGGGCTGGCGTCCCTCGGATGCGTGGGCTGGCCTGCCTAAACTGTCGCAGCGCTGGGGTTGGCTGCAGAGGAAGAGCGCGGCCCGCCCAGTTGTGCTGTGTGCTACCAGCCCCCCTTCCCTGGCTTTACCTGCCTGTCACTCTAGGAACACTAGTCAGGAAAAAAACGGAATCAGGGGACCTTGCGGGTAAGCACCGATAAACGAAATATCTCGCGGGCCACGCGCAGAGCCCCGATGGGCGGCATGGGGCCCACCGCTGCTCCGTTGCTGGGCTGCCAGAGGGTCACAGTGGGAGCCCAACACTAGTGATTTTATCGCACGTCTCGGGACAGTCCTAGCCCCTGGAGTCGGGGGATTGCCTGAGACGCTCGGCTGACATTCCTTTCCAGGAGTCAGTTTCTACTCTTTGTGGCTGCCCACACTAACCCTGAAGACTCCGAAACTCGTAGGCGAGGCCGAAGCGCCAGAGGTGTAGCCAGACTTTGGGCAGGTGGGCAACCCGGGCTGGAGGGCTGGCGGCTGCATGGGTGAGTGGGCCTGGATGCAAAGTGAGCGGGCCATGGCCCACTCAGGCCCACCCGCGGCTACGCCATTGCAAAGTCCCAGATTGGCTGAGCAGTCTCCTGGCCTTGGGGCCTGACTCGTGATTTCGGAACAGCTGGGGCTGGCGATGCGGGTTACGCCCATTTTCGGCCCCTGAAACTCCAGCGGCCTAAAGCCCCAACATGGACTGAGCATCATTTCGCAACAAGATCCCTAAAAACAAGACATTGTCGGGGCTCCTCTGAGCCTGTATCCATCGCCCCGCGCCTGCAGGTAGCACCCCACAGCTGCCCGCTGGGCCTGCCTCCGGCCTTGGTGAAGAAGGGCAGCCGGAGCTGCAGGAGGCTTGCTGGCTGGTCAGAGCACCGCTACTATCAATGCAAGACCAGCACAGCAGGACTGCCCTTCCTGGAGCATGCAGGGATCCTGACTCCGTGGCGTCGGCCTCTTTGTACATCACACGCCTGCCGCGGAGGCTCAGGCCCGGGAGACAGCTGGGTTCTGCGGATGCAGGTAAAGGGGGCGCGTTACCACCTCTGCCACTCGCTTCCTGCGCGGGACTAGCGGTGCTTTGCAGTGCCATCGTGACACCCGGCCAGAGACCGAGCAGCACAGCTCCTCCAGGAAGGATCAGACCAAGAGCAAGGGGTGACTCCTTGGAGCAGGGAAGGAAAATGCATGGGGAGCTAGAAGCAAGAGCATCATGCGTAGGGGGGTCGTAGGTGACTCGTGGTAGCATGCAGGAGCTCCACTGCCCCCCTATGCCCCTGCCAAAATATTAATTGCCAAATGGGGTGCCCCTCTCTGCACCCCCTCCCCCACGGGCACCAGCTGCTCCTGGTGACGGCACTGGATCAAGAGTCAGGCATTCTGGGTTCCAGCCCTTGCTCTGCCAGAGACTCACAGTGCGACCCCGAGCCAGTCACTGCCCTGCTGTGCCTCAGTTTCCCCATCTGTAAAACGACAACAGGCCGCACGTGTCGCGGGTGTCACTCGCTGGCTGCAGCGACATCACCCTGCAGACCCAGTCCGACCTCGTGGACTCTAACAGCGTCAGCGCTCGCAGAGCCTTCTGACCGCGCGCCAGGCACGAGTGCCCACTGCTTTGACTGTGCCGAGAGCGGCCTCCGGCATGGACCGGAACGGGAGCGCAGCCCGACGCCGTTCTCCCAGGCATGCTCCAGGCCCCCTCTTCACCTCGCACCCCGCCCTCCTCTTCTGGGCCCTCGGCTCCTGGCCCAGGCCTCCGAAGGGCTTCAGCAGACCCCGACGGGCAGTGGTGTGGCTCGGGATAGCCGTCCTGCCTTGCCCCGTCCCCGTCTGGGGCAGCAGGCAGGCTCTTTGGGGCAGGCACTGGGCCGGCTTCCGATCTCTGCAAAGAGCGGCGCCACGTTGGGGTCATTCCGAGGAGGGCAGCGACGCCGAGGGAGAGTCTCTTGGCCTCATCCTTCACCGTTCCCCTCCCCCCGGAGGGTCCCGGCGCACAGCGCTGTACAAACAC